AGATAGATAGATAGATAGATAGATAGATAGATAGATAGATAGATAGACGTTTCTCCTTAATTCCAGGTTGCTTCTCTCTTTGATTAGTTTCCAACCATTGTTTCTTGTCCTGCTCTCTGGTGCTTCGGAGAATAATTTGACCCCCTGTTCTTTGTGGAAGACCCTCAAATACTGCTATCATGTCACCCCAATTTCTTCTTTTCTTTAGACTAGCCAAACCCAAATCCTGCAATGGTTCTTCATGAGTTTTAGTCTCCAGGCCTTTGATCATCTTTGTTGCTCTTCTCTGAACCTTTTCCAAAGTCTTAACATTTTTTTTTTTTTTAGTTTGGTGACCATTTGTGGATGCTCCAACACTGGAAATTTTAAAGCAGAGATTAGACAACCATTTGTCTAATATGGGAGAGGGTCTTCTGCTTGAGCAGGGGGTTGGACTAGAAGACCTCTAAGGTCCCTTCCAGCTCGATTCTGATTGATTGAAAGTTGGCAAGGTTGAGAAACTCTGACTTAGGAAACAGGTTATCACTGGAATCCTTTTAATGTTCTGTTGTGTTTCTTCCCTTCAGATGACGTGGATGGTAGCTGTGATGTGCTGAAGTCACACGAAATTGCAGGAGGCCAAACAGTAGTGCTGCTGAACAACACAGTACTTCAGTATATATGCCCAGAGGGCCAATACCCATACCCTACCGAGTACCGGACATGCGAACCGGGAGGATACTGGAGCACTATGAAAAATATAAATAATATAAACGTCTCCCGGGCCAGGTGCAAAGGTATAATTTAATTTCTAAATTTAGAAAAGACAGTCTGCCTTTCAGCTGGCCATGAAAGCAATGACACACTGAGGGGATGTCCTGTTTTGGAGCGCATAAGTTTTAGGGCTCCTTTTGATTTCATGGGGAGACCCATGGCTTTGTTGCAGAGGTGGTATTCAGCAGGTTCTGACCAGTTCTGGGGAACCGGTAGCGGAAATTTCGAGTAGTTCAGAGAACTGGCAAATCCCACCTCTGACTGGCCCCACCCCCATCTATTCTCCGCTTCCCGAGTCCCAGCTGATCGGCTGGATCATCTTTGGTTGCCCTGCACAAGAGAGCGGAGCTGGAAAGCAGGTTAGTGGGATGAGGAGGGAATGGAGGTTTTGTAATAACCTTCCCCCAGGAGTGGGGTGGGAACGGAGATTTTACAGTATCCTTCCCCTGCCACACCCACCAAGCCACACCCACAGAACCAGTAGTAAAAAAATTTGAATCCCACCAATGCTTTGTTGGCATCCAAATGTGCAATGTTGGACCTGAAACCTTCCTGCATATCTTCAGCTACTAGACATGTTGAGCATTTACTCCAAAGATCAGACCTAATGATTTTACTATCAAAAAATGGAAACTTCTTTGTTTAGAAGTCATTCTTCCTCATTGACCTGTGTTCGGTATCAAGGAAAATACTAGGCATATAAATGGGACGGTCCTGATTGCCAACCCTATTCTACCTCCACAATGAAGTCGGAACATGTGTGGTCCTTTGAAAAATATCATCAGTGACTCTCTTTAACCATGGGATTGGGATAATATAAGTGGCTGCTTGGTGGTGCATCAAGATGCCTCTGGTGACATTTACAGCCAGAGAGATGCTCTTCATTTGTTATCCGTCAGGCTATTTCTGAACACAGCTTAGAGCGGACATCACTTTGAGGAAAGGGTCGGTGCCCCAGCATTGAAATAAGTATTGGTATGTGTCTGTGGAGATTCTCAGTCATCCAGGCAGTGGTGGGATTCTATTTTTATACTACTGATTCTGTGGGCATGGCTTGGTGGGCGTGACAGAGGAAGGATGCTGTAAAATCTGCAGTCAGAGGTGATATTTGCCGCTTCTCCAAACTACTCAAAATTTCTGCTACCTCTGCATCCAGGTTATGGTTGTCCCAAAGTTGCTTTTTTTCAAGAGGCAACTGGACTTTCTGGTTTTTCTTTGAAGACGTTTTGCTTCTTGTCTGAGAAGCTTCTTCAGTTCTGACTGTATGGCAGGGAAGGAGTATAAATCCTTCCCTTCCCACCATTCGGTCAGAGCTGAAGAAGCTTCTCTTGGGTGAGAAGCGAAATGTCTTCAAAGAAAAAACAGAAAGTTCAGTTGCCTCTTGAAAAAGGCAACCTTTGTAGTAGCATGTTTTTCCCAAAGTTGCTATTCCAAAAGGCCACTAGACTTTCTTGGTTTTTTTTTTCCTTGAAAATGTTTCGCTTCTCATCCAAGAAGCTTCTTCAGTTCTTGGATGAGAAGTGAAACATTTTCAAGGAAAAAAAATAAAAAAACAAAATCAGAAAAAAGCACATTTGGGACAGCCATGTCCTGGATGATTGAGAATCTCCATAGACATTTAGTAGTATGTTTATTTCTCAAGAGGTAATCCTTTGGTCCAGCCATTCTGGGCAACTTCTGACCTACAGAAGATCTTGACTGAAGCAAGTTATCTGCATTCTTCTCAGTCTGGGTTCAGGCAACTACATCGGTTGTTCTTATGGATGACCAGCAACATGGATGGAGGAAGTACAGTCTCTCAGCAACACAGAAAGTTTGAAATTCCGTTACAAGGTCTTGAGTCCCAGGTCAGACAACCCCTCTGCACAATTTCATACGCTGAATACTAAAATAGCTCAAGAAGGAGAGGAAACGATTAATTTATTGAGGTAGAGAATATAACCACGAAGTACTCAATCTCGCTTACTGATGACTTATTCTTTTCAGTTATTAATTGCCCCAGAGTTGCAGAATTCGAAAATGGTTACTTTGAGCCCCCACAGCAACATTACAATATAAACGACAGCATCACGTTTTCTTGCTATGGAGGATACAATATGAAGGGCTCTAAAGTCCGCACCTGCCTTCCCAATGGGAAATGGAGTGGAGAAACAACCATTTGTGATGATGGAAGTGAGTATGAAAATTAATTAATTTAATTAATTGCATGCAAGTCCTATCAGTTGTTCTCACTTCAGACTTCCTTTTCTTTTCTGTCTTCGAAAACACAACATCAGTTTTTAATCTTCTGTCATCAATATTCAGCTATCAACAGGCACAGCTGCCATTAGCCAATACAGACTATCAGCCACCAATGCTGATGCCTCCTTTCCACACACTGGCACACCCAGGGTTGGGCTTGAAAAATTTTAGCAACCGGTTTTCTGCCCCGTTGCTGGATGGGTGTGGTCATGGTGGGCGTGGCCTAGTCAGCCTCCTGCACCACAGCGGTGGTGTTGGTGTTTGCCCTTCCCGGGCTCCGGAGACATTCCCTGAGCCTCTGGGAGGGCGAAAGTGGCCTCCACAAGCTCCAGAGGCCCTCTGAAGGCCGGAAGTGGGCCCGTTTCCAGCCTTCCCGAACTTCTGGGAGGCCCATTTTTTTTGCTCTCCCTGGGCTCTGGAGGCTTTCCTCAAGCCTCCAGGAGGGTGAAAACGGCTTCCCCAGGTCGCGGGAGGCCCATTTTTCACCTTCTCTAAGTCTCTAGGCGGGTCCTGCACTTACCTGGGATCCAAAATAGGCTCCGTGGAGACTCCTGGGAGGGCCAAGGCTGGGTGGGCTGGGCCAGCCAGTCATTGTAACTACTGGTTTGGTGAACCAGATGTTAAATTAGCACCCGGTTCACCTGAACCAGTACGAACCGGTATGAACCCACCCCTGGGCACACCCAGACATCACGCAGGGTCAATTCCCTCAAAAATTGCAAGCTCTTGTTAAGGACTCCTATGTGATGCTCCTATGGAAAAACCTGGTTGTATTCAGTGTGGAAATGAGGCACCAACCTTTCATTTACATGCCCCAAAGGACATGCCTTTACATAATTATTATGAAATTACATACTGTTCCTATTGTCAGCATAATGCCCAAATATTTTACTTTTTCCTCAAACTTAAAGCCAGTGTTCTGCGTTAGTACTATTTGCTCTTCTAAATTCATATTTTTGTTGACATTTTTGTCTTTGGGTTATTAATCGTATAACCTGCTAACATACCAAATCCTTTCATTTTCCATTAATGTTTCTATTCCCTTGAATGGATCTTACAAAATTAAGACCAAATTATTGCAAATGCCTCAATTTATATGTTTCTTTTTTAAACTTAATCTCCCTAATTTTCTCACCTTGTCTTCTGTCTCTATTCATTTCCTCAAGAGCTAACATGAGCAAGAGTAGAGGCAGCCGTCATCCTTGTTTTCTCTCTTTTTGAATCCCACCTTTTGTTGCTTTAATTCTTAGCTTTTTGAGAACTGAAAGATATTTCATGTATGCATAATATATTTGTTGCTAAATGCATATACTTCAAGATGACTGTTTAATTCATGGGGTCCTCTCTTCTCCTCTCTAGCTGGCCATTGTACTAACCCAGGGATTCCAATTGGTAGTCGAAAAGAAGGAAAACAATATCGAACAGAATATCGGGTCCAGTATAGTTGTGAGAATGGTCTTGTCCTTTTTGGATCCAAGGAACGGGTTTGCCAAGAATTTGGAGGCTGGAGCGGATCAGAACCAGAGTGTCGACGTGAGCAGAGGGGAAAGAATGCCTGGTGGGATGAATATGGGGGGTTAAATACTGAAAATATGAATCCTGGGGCCATGAGAGGAATTCTTGATTATAAAAATTATTGCATAGGAATACCCAGAGGTGGGCTGCTGCTGATTCTCACTGGTTCGAGTGAACCAGCAGTTAAGATTAGGTGGAGTTTGATGAACCAACAAATCCCTCCACTGGCTGGCTCCACCCCTGCCTGTTCTTGGCCTGTTTTTTGGCCATTTTTCAGGATGCTTTTGATCTGAAAAATGGCCCAAAACAGACTTAAAATGGCCCCAAAACAGACTGAAAAATGGCCTGAAAATAGTCCAAAAAACAGCAAAAAAAACAGGCTGAAAAACAGGCAGGGCTCGGGCCAGCCAATGGTGAATACTACCTCTGCCTTTGAGGCGAGTGGCTGGGTGGCGGGACTGGGTGTGATGAGTGACATGTCCACCCAGTCACACGTCCACCCAGCCAGTCATTAGGGCAGAGAACCGGTTGTTTAAAAATTTGAAGCCCACCACTGGGAATGCCACACTTTCATTGTGGTTTGGTTTGGTTGTTGCATTCAGGGGTTATGTCAGAGGCAAGCTTCAGATATAAGGACCAAATCGTGGTCAGGTGAAATGATATTTCGAGGGATGATAAGAAAAAAAGAAAAAAGAAACATTGACTTCCGATTCTCTCTGTTCCTGTAAAATAAGGCATTAACATCAAATCACAACTTTTGGGTTTTTTTGTACTGATATGAACAAATGCCTTATTTTTACTGTAACAGAGAATTGGAAGTCAATTTTTCTTTTTCTTTTTTCTTATCCTCCCTCACTTCTCTTCCCCCTCTTCCTCCTCACCATTTTCCTATTTATTTTCCTATTTTGTATCCTATTTTTATTTTATAACCCAATAAAAATGATAAACCAAAGGAATGATATTCCATGGAAAACGTCAGATAAGTAAATATCAAACCAATAAAGCCAGCTTTGTGTAAAAAACAACATTATCAACAAAATCAGAGTAAAGTATCTGAAAGAATAATAATAATGTATTTTTACTCAAAGCGTATAAATGTTGTATATACTAGAACAGAAATATTAATGACATATGTAATGACATAGAGTGCCCCTAAAATGGACTAAACAGATAGCATTAGAGCAGAGGTGTCAAACTCGTGTCGTCATGTCGTCGTCACATGATGTATCATGACATTTTCCCCCTTCGCTAAACTGGGGATAGCCATGGCTGTGGCATGACGCATCCAGCCCGCAGGCGGCGAGTTTGACACCCTTGCACTAGAGAGTCTTCTATGTTTATCCCAAAGAGTCTCAGAGCGGCAAAATGTGCAACTCCCCTTCTTAATACTTCAATCCTGGTTTGCATAAAAATGAGTTCTATTTATTTTGGGGCATTCTCTTTTATGGTCTGTTACTAACTGAGCCTCCTCTTGTTCCTTCCCAGAGCCATATACTTTTGACACCCCAGAAGAAGTTGCCAACAATTTCATTTCATCTTTGACTGAAACTGCTGAAGCCGCAGAATCCAATAGAAATACCTGTAAGTCTTTGTAAATGGAACTGGCTTGGATAATTATAATTCCCTTCCTAGCATAACAAGAGAGACCACAATTAATATCGTTAGATGCTCTCCATTTCTCTGAGTAGTACAGATTCTAGGGCAATTTAATGGAATGTCATTTCATTATTGGAAAAAAGAACACTGAGAGGTTTTTTTAAACAATAACAACAACAATTCAAGAACATTAATTAGCAACTGATCGACACTGATGATGTTACTTAGTTGGGTAATGAAAAGTCTGCAAGCTAACAGTTAAGCTTAGAAAGCACCAAGGACTTTGTAGCTCAACCCTGAGTTACAAAGATTCTCTTCCATGAGAGAATTGTTAAAAGCATCACAGACATTGCATAATATTTTTCTAAATATTCAAGCAGATCATTAGTTGAGGAAAAATGGAAGCATATCTCAGGGATACTTCCAAGGCAGAAGATTCTACCCATAGTAGAATCTTGGGCATAAGTCTACCACTGTGAAAGCACTGTTCTCTCTCTGTGGATGTCTGTTAGATCAGGGGTCCCCAACCACCGGTCCGCGGACCGGTCCCGGTCCGTGGAACATTTCCTACCGGGCCGCTGGTTTGCTGGGTGCCGCCATCTTGTTTGACAAGAAAGTGCTTCCGGGTGAGCTTTTCCGGTTGGAAAGCGGCGTTTGGGTCCTGAAGGAATCCTCGCGCCTTAGTTTCATTGAATGTGGGGGCTTCAAATGAAACTAAGGCGCGAGGATTCTTTCAGCACCCAAGGCAAGGCGAGCCGAGCGACCGTCCCGAAGCCGTCCCGAAGCGAAGCCCATCGACAAAGGTACCAAGGAGGAGTTGAAGGTGGCGGGGAGAAGCGGGGGACGGCTGGCTGGCCGGTCGCTCGGCTCACCTTGCCTTGTCATGCGTGCTGATGCTGGAACCGGGCCGCAGATCATTTTGTGATGCCGGTACCGGGCCGTGGCGCAAAAAAGGTTGGGGACCACTGTGTTAGATTGACAGCTGCTGTTACTCTTCTTCTGAACCATCTTGCAGCTCTGGACTGAATCTCACCTCAAAACACAGACATATTCCTAATTATCAAGCTCCTGATCGTAATTTCCATTAATGAAATTTGCAGCAGTATGTTGTGGTAGCTGTGCCTTATTCTAAGTTATTTCATTTCAGTACTGCCTCTACCACCTTGGGTGTAGTTTTCCCCTTCAGTGTTAAGCCAGTATTTTCTGTGCATTAAGCATACCTGGTCATTGGGGTGCCTTTGTATATGGAAAGATATGGCCCTCGCTGTATTTTGTAAAGAGTGTTGCATTTTTATATATCTTGGCATCATCACAGACCAATGATTTGGCTCTTCAGGTGGACCTTGCCATTTTGGCTGTAGAATCAATAATACAGATTAACAGATTAACAGAGTTGGAAGGGACCTTGCAGGTCATCTAGTCCAACTCCGTCCCCCACCCAAGCAGGAGACCCTACACAATTTCTGACAGATGGAAATCCAGTCTCTTCTTGAAAGCTTCCAGTGATGAAGCTCCCACAACTTCTGAAGGCAACTCACTGTCTCTCTGTCAGAAAGTTTCTCCTTATTTCCAGGTTAAATCTCTCCTTGTTCAGTTTCCATCCATTATTCCTTGTCTGGCCTTCAGGTGCTTTAGAAAATAGCTTGACGCCCTCCTTTCTGTGGCAGCCCCTCAAATATTGGAACACCGCTGAACTTCATTCATTAAAAATAAAACAAAAATATGGGCTTTGTATCAAATACTGCAGTTGACTGATTGATTGAATGAGTGAGTGAATGAATGAGTGACTATGTGCTATCAGTTTGCAATTCTTTCATTCCCTAGAAAGAATGTCCAATATGTCAAAACTACACATACTGTACTTGGGAAAACAAGATATGAATACTAGTTCTTTTTCACTCCAGCCGCTACACAGAAGCGAAAGATTGTCATTAAGAAAGGAGGCACAATGAACATCTACTTCCTCCTCGATGCCTCAAAAAGTATTAAAGCAGTGGATTTCAATAGTACACAGAATGTTACAATCAAGCTGATTGAGAAGGTATGGAAGAATCAGATAATTTCTTTATTTCTTTACTTATTTTATTTTTATTTTTGTCAATTATAAGATAACAGATATAAGTATAAACATAGTTATGAATACATGAAATGGATACATATAAGAAAAATGAAATAAGAAACAATAGGATAGGGAAGGTAGGCACGTTGGTGCGCTTATGCACGCCCCCTACAGACCTCTTAGGAAAGGGGTGAGGTCAATAGTACACAGTCTAAGGTTAAAGTTTTTGGGGTTTGGGGAAGAAACCTTAGAGCCAGGTAGAGTATTCCAGACATTGACCACTCTGTTGCTAAAGACGTATTTCCTGCAATCAAGTTTGGTGCCGTTTACCTTGAGTTTGCATCTATTGTGTGCTCTTGTATTGTTATGGTTGAAGCTGAAGTATTCATTGACAGGTAGGACATTTGCAATGTATAATTTTATATACTATGCTTAGATTGGACCGAGGGTGGTGTAGTTCAAGGTTTTCTAGGTCTAGAATTTCAAGCCTGGTGGCATAAGGTGTTCTGCAATGAGTAGAAGAGTGGAGAACTCCTTTGCTCAGTCCTGTACCAAGAAGGTACCGGTATTAGTTATTAACCAGGGTTTATCAAACTTCGCCTTTTTAAAACATGTGGACTTTAAGATGCAGATTTCCACAGCATGATGAAATCATAAGGCAAACCACTTTTATGATCAAGGGAACACTGGAAATGTGGAGAGTCTAAAGGAGTTAGAACTTGAGTAAGTAAGACCTTGAGTAAGACCTAATCTCTTGAACAAGATGACCAATATACAGTGTAGCCTTGGGTCGTGACTGCAATCTGTTCCTGGACTCCGGTTGTGACTCGATTTGGTTATATTCAGCAGCACGACCGATTGCTAATGCGTGCAATTTAAAAAAAAAGGCACGTGACCCGATTCAAAAATTGGTTGGGGTTTTTTTTTTGCCACCTGATTTGGTCACGAACAGGAATGTTCACGACCTTAGGTTCCACTGTACTGTAAGACCATACTTAAAATATTACACCCAGTTTTGGCCGCCACACTATAGAAAAGATGTTGAGACTCTAGAAAAAGTGCAAAGAAGAGCAACTGAGATGATTAAGGGACTGGAGGCTAAAACATAAGAAGAACATGAAGAAAGGGAAATATTCGTGTCCCAGGATAATGTTGCAGGATCCAATCGGGGTCGGTCACCAGGATCAGAGGTTTTGTCTTCCAAGCTTTCGCACTTGATCTTAGCCAAAAAGCCGAGAAGCTCTTCCAAGCTTTCGGACTCATGCTGGAGTCCATCTTCAGGGAACTTCTTTCTTAGCAGAGTGTATGTGTGTTGTGTGCGGGGGATTTATATAGTGCTTGTTGAAGTTGTATGTGCTGGAGCACAGGTGTCAAACTCACAGCATCATATGATGTTTCACGACGTGTTTCCTATTTGTGGAGCTGGAGTGGGCATGGCCTGTGCATGATGCATCCAGCCTGTGGGCCACCAGTTTGACAACCCTGTGCTAGAGAGAGAACTCTAGCTGAGTTGGAACCCCAAATTACTCTTCTGACACCAGAGACCTTTGATCCTCCTTGTGCGGATGCTTAGTACTCTTTTCGATGAAAACTGCCCAAAATTATAGTAAGGTTCACTATTTGTTTGAGCAGTGGTGGGTTCCAAAAAAATTTTCTACCGGTTTGGTGTGAGCGTGCACCTTGCTTATGCACAGCATTTCCAACTCACCTGCTGCTGCAAGCCCTGTGTGTAAAACAGCTGACACGCAGCAATCTGCTGTGCCACATGAAACAGCTGAGGTTGAAAAGCCGGAAATGAAGATCAGTATAGAGCCGGGCATGTGGGAGAGCCCAGCAGCTGATCGTCGGAGTGAACCAGTTCCCTCACAGATGATCCTCGGAGCTACCGGTTCTGGCAAACCGGGCCAAACCGGTAGAATACCACCACTGTGTTTGAGGTTCCCTTAGTCCTTCCACCTATGTTTCAAATCCCTGGTAATGCATAGTTGATCTTTTTTTTAAAAAAAACAGTAAAATGAAAGAGATTGATCATTACCCCCCTCACGCCCCCATCTTTAAGAGGTCCTCAGCAGATTGAGGGACTGGACAGAAGAAAAACATTATTTATTGTTAACTTCTGGGTCAAAATGGCTGGTCTGCTGTGCCCTATTCAATGTGTCAACTTCTGCAAAGCTCTGGAATGGGGCATGTGCAGAAGTTCTAGCATAGGGAATCCCCAAACTTTTGTGGAAGTCCAAGAATATTTTAGTCTAGGACTTTGCAAAGGTTGCCATATTGGTAAGTCTATGTCAGCAAGAATAGGCCAGCGTGAGAGGCCAGGGATGTAAAACCTTCCCTCACCAGCAAATGTTTGGTGGCGGGAGATTTTGTGCACTGAAGCCATTCCCCAAACTGCCCTTGGGACTGAATGTTAATGAATGTAGTTGAGAAATGCCATACATATCATGCTTCTTTTTGTCTCCTGGCTTCCCTTTGCAGATCTCCAGCTATGATGTCTCCCCCAATTATGCCGTCATCACTTTTGCCACAAACAGCAAAGAGGTTTTCAACACATTTCATGCACAGAGCACTGATGCAGCCTGGGTGATTGAGCAATTAAAAAATATCAAAATTTCTGGTGAGGATTATTCCTGATCTTTGCCAGGGAGATAGGTCTTTGCTCACCCACAACCGGTTTCATTTTATAATCCGAACAAGAAGTCTTTTTCATACTTGGAATAAATAAATTTACATACTTACGTGGCACTCGGTAACATTTTCCATTCTCTTCCAAGCAACGTCTACATCCTTAAGTCTTTTACTATATTCCTTGTATAGTAGCCAAAATATTGTTGCCTGTATTCTATCAACTAGGAAGTATTAATATACATTCAAAGTGCTTAAGGAATTCTTGATACTGAGAAACATTCAATACTGAAGAAAGACAGCTGTTGATGTTTTTCTGAAGGGAGAATCTGAAGATCAGTTAGGTTATATTGTGGCTGCAGGTGTAGCCTGAATAGCAAATGAGATTTGCTAAGGCCAGCCAACTGCAAATAATGGTGTTCATTTTTCTCCTTTTATCTTTTTTTTTTCCCCCAGAGCATAAGATAAAGCCAGGAACCAACATAAAGAAAGCCTTCACAACTGTCTATGAAATGATGATTTCCCAGGAAGCTGATGAGAGGAGACGTGGATTAAATCCTCCTCCTGTTTCCAATTCCACACGCCATGTGATCATCCTCCTGAGTGATGGTGAGGAAAAAGAACACATACAAAAAACTTTTTCTTCTAGCTACTTTTTAATATTTAATAGGGTAGCTACTTCAATATTTGTTGGAAAGAACTTTTATGCTATTTATTTAATCAATATATTCCCTTAAATGTAATTTAGACAGGGCTCAATTTTGTTTTTTCTTAATGTGTATATTCAGGAAAAGTTTGCTTTATATTTTTATCCTTTTTATGCATCATCTTCCAGAATCCAGAATCCACAGGTTCAAACCTTTCGTTATGAGGGTAACCCTTCACTTTCTAAATAATATTTTTTATTCAAAAAAATTACAGAGTTTTGAAAAATTGTATAAAAACAAAACAAAAAATAGAGAATTTAAAAATCTGCATTAAAAAGAACAAAAAACACAAAACCACCAGTAGTGAGATCCTACCTTAGTTGCTACTGGTTCGGTGGGTGATCGTGTGTGTGTGCGGGCGCCCCTAATGCACAGACCCCTAACAAGCCAATCAGCTGAGAGGATGAAGAAACGAAAAGCTAGGAGCAAGCCTCCCACCCTCCCATGCTTTTATCCTCTCAGCTGATCAGGGTTTTTTTTTTTTACTACCGGTTCGGCCAAACCAGTCCAAACCAGTAGCATACTACCACTGAAGCACCCACATATATATCATCCAACTTCGTTGAATATTGACAAATATATTGTAACAATATTAGTTTCCCCCTCTCTTGCAAACCGAGCCACAATTTTTTAAACTTCTATTTTCAACTTATTTGACCTGTCAGCTATCTACTATATTAAGAACAGTTAACAGGCAAAGCAACAGAAAAATTAAACTTTCAAAATCTGCTAACAAGCTGTTATTGTATTTAACTTGCAGAAAGTCTACCATGACTTCTTTCATCTATTCCAAATCACAACAGCTATCTCTGATCCCTCCTGGATCAATATCAAATATCCTGATTTGCTCCCTAATAACATCTCTTTACAATTGTTGTCTGATTAAATATAGTAAGCCTATTCTCCAAAATCGATCTATCTTCCCCAAAAAGCCCAGTCGATTGGATATAATAAGCCCATTCCCCAATTTCCATCCATCTTCTTAAAAAGAAATCCAATTTATTACTCATCAAATCTGTCAGTTTGTAAGTCTGTAAAGTCCATATTTCTTTTAGCCTTCTCCATTTGAACTTGTAGGTAAAAGCATTCGTTAGAACAAAGAAAATACATACACACACAAATTAATGTTAAAATCCATCCAGGGGTTAGAATAAATTAGCCTTTGACCAGTCACTTAACTTTTGAAAATAAAAAGCACATTAAAAGAGAAACTTCAAAGAGTGTAGTTAAAATCCAGGCATGCTTAAAAAAGCCAATCAGCTGAGAGGAAAAGATGGAGACCTGTCTCTCCAGCTGCTTCTACCAGGAATTGCAATCCTTAAGATTCCTCTTTCCATGTTTTCCAAGGATTGTCTTGGATCATTTATTGTGTCAACTCATAAAACATTTCTATGCCTGTTTTAGAGTTGCCACGAAGGGAGTGGCGGGATTTGAAGGAGCAGTGTGACAGTTTAAAACCAAAAGTGCATTCCGTGCTTATCTTGCAAAGATTGTAACTAAGCTCCTGGAATCCACAAAAATCCCTAATTGGAGAATCTCAGCTATGAATGTGTTTCGTTGGAGAATACAAATTATGTTACGCCCAGGGGGGTGGGGGGAAAATAGGGTCATAGGTGATAGTGAATTACATGTCTCAGAATCGGCTTCATACAGGTAATGCTTACATGTTTGCTGCTAATAAATCCTTTGAAGTTTTTGAAGCTTGGCTCGAGGCTCATGATTTAATTAGGGCAACTGCCGGAATCCTGACACCTAGATGTTCCGATTCAACTCTAGGAGTTGCACCATCAAAAAGCCAGCTTTGGCAGAAAAATCAGCTGATTGTCAGTAGGAGAAAAAGATTGCCCTGGTGTTCAGCACACAGTCTTGGGGGAAATCAACCCCTTTTGGGATCAAGATCACTTCTTAATCTTTAAATGGCGTATTAAACAACTAATGGGGCTGAGAGAAATCTACTTTTATTTCAGTGATTCAATTTCATTTGAGTTGAATGAAGTGAATGATTTCTATAATTCCACAGAAACTTTGGAAGAGCTGTAGGAGCACGGTCAATTTTGAGAGGCAACTTGATCACTTCTACCATATAGTAACTGCTACTCTCAACCTTTAGGTCGTTACAACATGGGCGGGGAACCAGGTCCTGTCATAAACAATATTAAGGAATTCCTTAGGATTAAGAAATCTGGCACCAATTCTCGCAACGAATTCTTAGGTAAGTTCTGATGATCTACATGTCAGGAAAGAAATGGGGAGAAAAGTACTTTCAAAGCAGAATTTCACAATGTTTGGCCTCACTTGCCTGTGATAAGACTTTTTGCCAATATTATAGGCCAATGTCAGAAATTACAGATCCAGTGTGTCAGGTGGTGCTCCATTCAAAATTCAAGAAAGCAAACTTAGACTCTTTAGATTAGAGCAAAGATAACTTTTACTGAATTTGAAGTGGTAACATCAGTAGAATTCTGAATCTGAGAAATTAGGCGCACAAATCACACATACAAAGTGGTGGAAACGTTCCCACCCCTCATAGTTCAAATGATTCTTCCAATTAAAAGTTGTGAATATGATCGTGTGGGCATCTTCGGGTGGTGATGAGGCCTCTGTCCGTTGACCTTGACATTTTGATAAAGACTTACAGTTGCGCAGAGAAAAGAAAGCTAAGCGAAGAAACTTAAGAGCAGGAATTTATACTCCCCCCCCATTCCTCATTTACACAAGACAAGAATGTAACACCTCCAGCTCTCTTCCCAGACAATATCCCCCCCCCCCCCCCCCGTTACTTATGGTGCAAAGCAGTAGAAAAACAGTAGTAAAAGACCTTGAAGGCTGACACAGTGTTTTAAATTCTATGCGTGTCTGATTGACTTCTTGGCATCTTAACCCAAGGGACAATAGAGAGTAAGTGACATCACAAAAGCATTTTTTGCATTCCTGGTTGAATATAACACCAAGTGAGATTAGCAAACATGCTGAAGAGAGTCCATTTGCCCCGAGGAAGTCAATTTATGTACTGTATCTCCCAGGGGAATGGGATTATTGAAAGAAGAAGGGACAAATAATTGGGTTACGGTCCTAGAAACTTGCAGGCATCATGCAAGTGAGCCACATTTGACTTGATCTATCAAATATATGTGCTTATTTATTTTTTGGTCATGTCATATACCACTATACCACTGTCTTCAACTCCTAGAAGCTTATCAGAATTAAAACTTGAGATGCCACACTCAGTAGAACTGTTTTAAAATAGTAAAGTCTGAAATTATTGCGTAAACATCAAATTGCTGCCAATTTTTGCAATCACCATGGCATTGGTCTTCTTCAAACATGCACGCACGCACGCACATGCACACACAGAGCACAGTAGTGGTTAGGAGTAGACATAAAAGCATTCTCAGCTAGAATAAGCACACAGTATGGACTAATTCTATATGGAGGTTGCCAACCTGAAGGTACTTAACAGCTGAGCCATGTAAGAGATGTCAATATCATATATGAAATCAAAGACTCAATCATCCAGACCAAAGATATCTGAAATAATGGTATAATAATGGTATCAGTCAATTCAACAGTTTAGAAAGAAGAAACTATAGGTTTAAACCAGTGGTGGGATTCAGCCGGTTCTCCCCGGTTCGTAGTTAACTTTTTCTGCAGTTTGGCAAACTGGCTAACCCCGCCATTGGCTCGCCCCCGTCCCACCCCGCCCTTGGCTCCTCCCCTCCCCTCCTCCCCTCAGCGATTCATCTCCTGGCTGGCTTTTTGCTTATGTTTGTCTGGCTGTGGGGAGGGGGGCGGAATGGACAGGGGCCTGTAAAGGAGGCGTCTTGCTTGCCGCAAGGCTGCACCGCCCACATCACGGCCCTCCATCAGCCTGCGCCTTCAGCTGAGCACACAGCGGGCCTGGAGCAGGTCTCCCTCGCCCACCATCGGCCTTACCTTTCTGGGCAGCTGCGGTGAGCAGAGCGGTGCGAGCCTGGAAGATGGCCAGGGACCTCACTCCTCTGCCAGCCAGCTTGCCCACCCACTGGCCTGCACCCATCGGCTGAGCGCAACGGGCCAGGAGTAGATCTTCCTCCCCCAATGTTGGCCTTACCTTCCAGCGGTGCAAGGCTAGCGCTGCTCTGCTCACTGCAGCTGCCTACGAAGATAAGACTGACGCTAAGGGAGGGAGGCCCACTCGGCCCCAGGGACAGAGGGACAGAGAGAGACCTGCAGTGCTGCAGGTCCCAATGTCTCTTCTCCGTCACTGGCAAGAGACCTTCTGCTGCCTCTCACCACTTTCCACATTTCACTTTGGGCGGGGGCAGCTCACCGCACCCAGGCCCCGCTGCATCCCCCGAACGGCGATCCCAGCCCACCTCTGCCAGCGGCTTTGGGCAGCGGTTTGGCTTTCCTGGCTGATCTCCGCCCGCCTTTCCCTTCCTCCCATGGCTGGTTAGCAGAGAGGAAGGCAAGCCGGAGCTGAGCCACTGCCTCTTGGCCCCCTCCCGCAACCTGCATCTCTCTCTCTCCCGCTGCCCGGATTCTCTGCAACTGCTGGGCCTCACCTGCCATGGCTTCCCGCAGGCAGGGGGCAGCAAAGGACCATGAGGCTGCGCCTCCCGCATCGTCCTCTCTGCCAGCTAGCCCTTGTCTGCCCACCAGCCCAGTCAGGGTGGAGTGTGAGACTGCCTGGCCTCCCGGCCACCAGCTCACCTGGGGAGGAGGCTCCGGCTTCCGGATTCATAATAAAGAACCACAAAGGGGTTGGATGTAAACACTGGACCATGGAGCAAGCAGGGGGAGCATTGGCACTGGGCTGCTCAGAGCCATCTTTCACGCACAGTGGCGAGCGGGGCAGCAAAGCACCTCCTAGGTTTTCTAGGTTTCGGCCCTGGCTTCCTCTTACCACCAGAGGCTGCTGGTGGAAGCACGGAGCAAGATGCTCGGGCTCTGTTCGCCCGAGCGAAGGGGGCTTTGCTGCTAAGAGTCCAGTTTGACTCTCGCTCTCCTCAGCCCGAATTAAGGCTGAGGGGGAGGAGCCCGAATGGGGGCGAAGTGCCTTTTGTGCTTATTTCGAAGGCCAGGCGAGACGCCCTGCAAGGAGAGGCCAGGCGAAGACTGGCTGGGGGAAGGGGAGGCACCCTTTGATGTGAATGACATCGAGTTGCCCACGCCCACCCAGTCACATGACCATCCAGCCACGCCTACCCATCTGTTCATTAGGGCAGAGCACCGATGGTTAAATTATTTGAATCCCACCGCTGGTTTAAACCCATACGAAGATAAAGGTAATTTACATCTTTGAAAATGACAGTGGGCAAACGGTTGCGCGTGGCTTTATTTTTGCCTGCAGTAAAACAAATCCTAATCCAATCCAGCTAGTTTGGGAGTCATCTGGCAAAACTAGTAGCTGAAGTATCACAATGAAATGTCTGGAGACTTCTGATAGATAGCCTGGTCTTACAGGTTGTCTATCAACAATTGCAATGCTGTACTTTATTAAGGACTCACCATTACAAACTACTGTTGTCTTTTTTTGGTCAGGAACGTTAGTACTTCCCTCCCAACCTATGTCTTTTTTCATGCTTGCTTGCAGATATCTATGTCTTTGCTGTTGGAGAAGTCAACGAGAAAACCATGAATGATTTGGCATCAAAGAAACCCGGTGAGAAGCACTTCTTCAAAATAAAGGACATCCAAGACCTGCAAAAAACCTTTGATCAAATGATTGGTAATTTCAACCTACCTTTTGTGGATTTGTTTGCATGCTTCTGTCGGGCTTGTAATCCTTTTCAGAAAACGATTGAGTTTCAGGACCCTGTGGATTTTACTCCGCTAGTCATTGCCGACTGTAAGGGGCAGTACTCCTCTCCATTTCAAGGCCCTTGAGCCAGCGCTGTCCGAAGACTTTTCTGTGGTCATGTGGTCGGCATGACATCATGGAACGCTGTTGCCTTCCCACCAAAGTGGTACCTATTTATCTACTCGCATTTACAGGCTTTTGGACTGCTAGGTTGCAGGAGCTGAGGTGAGGACGGGAACTCACCTGATTGCATGGAGCTTGAGTCTTGAACCTGAGTTGTCAGCTCTCCAGCCGACTGTGCTGCCCCACTCATTCACATACACACATGTTTTTTAGAGAGTTTATTAAAGTTCCCCAGCAGTTCCCTTCGCCCAGCCTCAGAACTCTCCCAAATAAATCCAGCCATGAGCAGGCCAAGATTAGTCCACAAGGCAATGGCTAATAGTCCATAAAACAATAGAAAGTTGCTCCAACAAGTAAGGCCACCAAACAAACTTAAAGCCACCAGGCGAAAACTAAAAGTACACTCAGCAAGAGAAGTTCAGAGTTTCCAAGGAAGCACAAACAAACACACAGTCATAAACCAAATACGTTGTTCCCAGTAACACCTCCCTCCGCCTGCCGTGATAAATAGCCCATCAAGATGGGCAGGGCCTTCTCCCGAGTAATCTGGCAATTCTCCTTTGCTCTGGTCTTTTCTCTGTCCTGCATGCTTTTGGATCTACCACATAAGTCATCTCCTCCTCCTCACCCTCACTGATCTGAAAACTGTCCCCAGCCGAAGGCCCTCGTAAATCTCTTTCAGAGTCATTAATTAACCCAGTTTCTGACCTGCCATCAATGAGGTCGTCCTTCCCACCTCCAAGGAAGAGTCAGAGTGGTTGTCCAAGGAAGACATCACACTGACAAGCCCAGCACCTGAGCCACCATGCTGCCCTGTTTAAGGACCCACCTCTTCAGAATTTACCCCACTTCCATTTTTCTCTAGGCTGTGACTTTCCATTGCTACCGATTCTTCCTATTATGCCTTCTTGTCCTTTTCAAGAGATCCTTGAGTCATAGTTTATGCGCCTAGGCCCCAGGTCATGGGGCCTTCAGCTGTTGTAGAAAACTCAAAGGTCTGAAAAAGTGTCTCTCTTTTTCCAGATGAGAGTGAAGTTTTGTCTATGTGTGGCTTGGCAAAAGAACACAAGGCAGATGATCAAAAGAGGAATCCCTGGAACACCAAGATCACCATCAGGGTAAGGGAGATCTCTGGAACAGAACTGAGCTCAGAGAAGAACACTTCCTTTAGTAATACAGGTAGTCCCCGACTTACACCAGTTCATTTAGTGAATTGTTCAAAGTTACAACGGCACTGGAAAAAAGTGACGTGACCATTTTTCATACTTACGACTGTTGCAGCATCCCTATGGCCACAGGATCTAAATTTGGACACTTGGCAACTGATTCCTATTTATGACGGTTGCAGTATCCCAGGGTCCTGCCATCACCTTTTGCGACCTTATGACAGGCCAACTCAGTGGGGAAGCCAGATTCACTTCATAAATAGGGGTCAGTTGCCAAGTGTCAAAATTTTGCTCATGTGACCATGGGGATGCTGCAACGGTCATAAGTATGAAAAATGGTTCATAAATCACCTTTTTCAGTGCCTTTGTAAATTTGAACAGTCACAAAATGAACTGTTGTAAGTCAAGGACTACTCGTTTTTTTTTCTCCAAGATGTTATGCCCATCCCTCATCTGGTTTTCCTCCTTATTACCGTGATTGCTATCCTCTGGACAGGCTGCATTTTTCAAAGTCCTTCCTAAAATGTAGTTGTCAGGCGACAGAACTTTTCCCATTCACTCAACTAGAATGAACTTCTGAAAACGTATCCAAACGTATCACAAAGGAATTCTTTATTGAGATGAGACAATTCTTGTAGGAGTTCAAAGCAGCGTCTGAGGTCTCTCAGGCATACAGGGATACATAAGGGAGTTTAGACCCCCTCCTCTTATCTCGATGTGTATTTAGTGAAACAAAAGCCAGTATGTTAATTCCTCCCCACCCCTCTTGTTAGAAGGAACTATTCAAGAGATTCCCAAAGTACAATCTCACTGTGGAATTTTTATGACCTTCTCATCTCCTGGTTGTGCCTCTCAGAGGTGATAGTTCTGGCCATCTGGCTTTTCTCCCTCCATCGTATCATGTGTGGGTTATACAAATTCGATATAAGATTAAATATATTCAGGTTACATCAAGAACGGATTTCTTTATCAGCCTCCCGCCCGCCCCCTTTTCCTTCTTCCACTGAAGAAATGACAGATCCACGGATCTGACAGTAGTGCTCAGACTTGGAGACTATAGAATCCATGTGCAATTAGGCATGGAGATTTTTTCTTCATCTTGACATTATTTTTATTGGAGATGCAAATTCAGTGGAATTAACTCACTAGCTGAGCACTTACCAATCGCCAGGGATCGTTGCAGTACACAGAGAGAAAGAGAGAGTTAAGGATTTATTTGATCTTCTCTCTTTGTCTGTAATTGTGCTAGCTTTTGGTCTAAGACAGGGGTGTCAAACTCAATTTCACCGAGGGCTGTGCTTGATCTCGTGCGGGCAGGAGTGACTGAGTGGGTGTGGCCAGCTTAATGTCACTCCCCAAAATGTTGGCACATTTTCTCCTCTTTGCATTGGGTATAACATACTGAAGCCATGCTGGCCCAATGTTTCCTATTTACATTGGGTAGACAGGGCTGAAGCGACATGGGTAGACAGGGCTGAACTGACACAGGCCGGCCCCTTACATTTTCCAGGATGATCCCCTGGGCCAGATCCGACCACATCGCAGGCCGGATTCAGCCCACGGGCCTTGACTTTCACACCCTGGTCTAAGAGATTGTTACTTCCTGTCACTTTGTTCAGCATCTGCTTCCACACACTCATAGAACACAAGCGCCTGCCGGTAGGACATAGTTAGCTGGGTCCAAGAAACCATCTAAGTGCTAAGTACTAGAAAACAAACCAGCTCAGACAGCACCAAGGACCCCTCATTTCAACTCTGAGCTACAAATATTATCCTTTATTATTTATTATCCAAGGACCTGGAAAAAGTGAGGAAAAGGCAGAACTGTTGTAGTTGATTGCAACTCTTAGAGAGCAATCATTGCACAGTACAGGGTACAGTACGGGTGGACCTAAGGCTAAGAACTACACTGTTTCTCCAACAATATGGCCTCCCTCAATAGGAAGTCCCAGCATGTTTTATAGGCATGAAATGAGATTAAGCCCCTCCCCCCCAAATTAAGGCCTATATTAAAACATGCGAAATGGGGGGAATGGTGGGGGGGGCCTTGCTGTTAGGAAGTACTTTTGTTGCACACCCGGATATGGTGCTGCCTGCGTTGACCCCGATATGAAGTGCCCCACCAATGCCGAGGTCAACATCCAAGCCGTCACCACCCGCCCAAAGATGCAAGGGGGGGGAATTAAGTCACCCCCCGAAAAGACAGCCTAGCCATTTTTTTCGGGGCTCAAAAAAAAAAAAAAAGACCCGGCCTTATTATATGAGAAACACAGTAGGTTTATCTAATATCACTTATAGGAGGATGGTGGTGCAATGGTTAGAATGCAGTATTGCAGGCTAACTCTTCCCACTGCCAGGAATTCGATCGTGACTGACTCAAGGTTGACTCAGCCTTCCATCCTTCCAAAGTTGGTAAAATAAGGACCCAGATTCTTGGGGCAATATACTGATGTTGTAGACCATCCTGAGAGTCGTAAAGCAGTGTCCCCCAACCTTTCTGGGTTGGTGGCCTGGCATGGCGGGAGGAGATGCATTTGCAGCCTCATACATGCTTGCAGTGGGTACTGGCGCCTGCAGCCCCATTCATGGTGCACGCGCCTGCTGCTCACACTAATGGGGTTGTGAGTGACAATGCCCACTGGTCACGCAGCCCAGTTATGAATAGCTGGGTGGACCACGGCCCACAGGTGGGGAACCCCCATTGTAAATCATTGTGGGGCAAATCCTAAGTGCCGTTGCTATGGTAATAATACACACACTTCCGTTAACGTTGAATAACAAATAAATCCTATTGAATGCAGTGGGAATTATGTCCAAGGAAATCTATGTAGGATGCTTTTGTGACTTAATCATGGTGATTTTTCTCTTCCAATCACAGCGTTCTGGTGGGACAGGGTTTGACAACTGCAAAGGAACCCTCATTTCTGAGTATTTTATCTTGACAGCAGCTCACTGTTTCACTATCGACGATACGGCTGACCAGATCAGAGTCACAATTGGTAAGCAGTAAGCACAGGGATCTTTTGAGAGGAAGCTGGCAATGTGGTCAGCTGTGCCTCATTCAAAACCGAAGAAAGAAATCCTTCAACTCCATTAAAATAGAGAAAAGTATTTTTTTTACTGAGTTTGAAGCGATAGCAACAAAAGATAAGCAAGACCTGAGGCAAATAAGCGTGGAAATTACATATTGAAAGTTATCCCAAGTTTCTTCCCCCCAAGAGTCCAGACTGGTCATCCAATCTGCGGTGTGTATAGTGTCGTGTGGGGTACATCTTCAGGTGGTTTCTCACTCATCTGGTATGCCAAGAGGGTTGACCATGGCTTAGTAAAGTCTATGCAGTAAGCAAGGAAGCATCCCCCTCCTTTTTAGTTCACACAGAAAATGTCTTCACTCCCCAGCAGCCTTCCCCTCCCAAACACCAAATTATGACTCCCTCCGTTTCTATGGCAGCCGACAAGGCAGCAAAAGATGTCAAGAAAACTTTGTGGAGGCTGGTAGTAGGGCGGTCAGCTGGCCAGGAGAAAAGAAACAGGCCTGCCTTTCTCTTTCAGAGTAACCAAATGGGCCGCAGGGGTCAGCTGATGGTCCCACCATGTGGTGATAAGCTATGTAGCCCAAGACAGCAGAAAGTCTACGTTTTACTTTCCTCTTTCCTAGCCCAGCGAGATTATACTGTGGAAAACATTATACTCCACCCAGAATATAAGATCGGAAAACTGAAAAATCGCGGAATCCCTGAATTCTATGATTATGATGTTGCCCTGATAAAACTTGAGAAAAAAGTTGAGTTCAGTTACAATGCAAGGTGAGATCTCGCAGGAAGAGAGAGAGTGAGAGTGTGTGTGTGTGTGAGAGAGAGAGAGAGAGAGAGAAAGAGTGAGAAAGAGAGTGTGAGAGAGAGTGAGTGAGAGAGAGTGAGAGAGAGAGAGAGAAAGAGTGTGTGTGTGTGTGTGTGTGAGAGAGAGAGATAAGCACTTTCAATTCGGTCTCAAAGGAATATTAGAATCAAGACATTGCTTTTGATTTAGTTGTATAAAATGCATTGTGATTTTTAACCTCAGCCTTTTATGATCAAAGACAAGCTGGTTGTTTCGTATTTAAAAGACAGATTGATGGGATGATATGTCTTTAAATCAGCGAGTGGTGCGGGGGCCGAGAGGTGGCAGCTCTCGCCTCACAATCAGGAGGCTGCAAGTTCGACCCTAGGGAGAGGCCAGATATTTATCTCTCTGGGCACAATGCAGTGGTGGGATTCAAATAGTTTTAACAACTGGTTCTCTGCCCTAATGATTGGCTGGGTAAATATGGCTGGGTGGTCACGTTGCTCATGTCAAGGGGTGCCTTGCCTTGCCCAGCCTCTCCTTGCCTCTCCCGTCCCAACCATTCCTCACCTCGCCCAGCCTCTCTTTGCTGGGCCGCTCGCTTCGCTGCTTGCCCAGCCTTCAAGATAAGCACAACAGGGACAGCTGCCAGCAGGCAGGGGGCAGCCAGGGACCATGAAGCTGGGCCGCCCACATCATCCCTCCACCAGCCAGCCCTCCTTTCTCTGCCTGCCAGGTCAGGGCAGATTTGGGGGAGTGCCTGGTCTCTCGGCCATCCACTTGGCCTGGGGAGGAGGCGGCTCCAGATTCTGGATTCGTAGTAAAGAACCTGAGAGCGGGTTGGGTGTAAGCAACAGACCATGGCGTAAGCAGGGAGAGATTTGGCACTGGGCCGCTTTGCATGGGCTGCTCAGAGCCATTGTTTGTGTGCTGCGGCAGGTAAGAAGGCAAAGCGCCTCCTAGGTTTATCTAGGCCTCAGCCCCAGCCTTTCTCTTACAAGAGGCTGCTAGAGGATGCAAAGAGGAAGATGCCCGGGCTCCGTTCATCCAAGTGGAGGGGGCATCGCTGCCGGGACTCCGGTCGCAACTCTCGCCATCCTCAGCCCTGATTAAGGCCGAGGGGGAAGAGCCCAAATGGCGGCGAAGTGCCCGGAGGCGATGAAACTGCTCAGTTTCTGCTTTTACCCTTTGAGGTTGTGAATCCCAATTGGTCGCCAGGCACTCCCGTACTCGGGTCAGGGGGGTGCTGCTTGTTGCAGTGCGCGGTTGCGCCCAACGGACAGCTCACGCCCACCCAGGTAGCTCAAATCCTCCTCCTCCGGATCAGTTCGGTGTGCCTTGCTCATCTTATACACAGGATCGTTTGGAAGAGAGGCTGCCCTTGAAAAGATGGGAAGATGGGCCACCCTGTTTTGGGGGAGAGAGAGAGAGAGGGGCTTTGATTGGGCTTATTTTCTAAGATGGAAGCCTTCCATTTTGTGCTTATTTCAAAGGCCGGGCGAGCGGCCAGGAGAAGTGAGGCAAGGAGAGGCTGGGCAAGGCGAGGAGTGGCTGGGAGGGGAGAGGCAAGGAAGAGGCCGAACGAGATGAGGTGCCCCTTGACGTGAGTGATGTCAAGTTGGCCATGACCAGGGATGGTTTGCTGGTGATTTGCAGGGGTTCAGGAGAGCCCCAGCTCAGATTCTGTGTAATTCAAAGAAACCCCCCCAATCCCATTCCTGGCTGGTCTTGCCCACTCTGTCCCACCCCTCCCAGGAGTCCCCATGTGGCCTGTCGTGAAGGCAGATATGCGCATGGAGGGTGCAGGGTGCGCGTGGAGGCTCAGGGAGGGTGTAAAACGGGCCTCCCGGAAGTTCAAGAAGGCTGGAAATGGGCCCGTTTCCAGCTTCCAGAGAACCTCCGGAGCCCCGGGAGGGCAAAAACGCCACCCGCCCACCATGGTGCAGTCGGCTGACTAGGCCACACCCACCATGGCCACGCCCACCCAGCAACCAGGCAGAGAACCCTTTGCTAAAAAATTTTGAAGTCCACCCCTAGCCTTGACCCCACCCCAGCCACACCGACCCAGCCGATCACTAGGGCAGAGAACTGGTTGTTACAATTATTTGAATCCCACCACTGCATTGTGCCCCGATCTTCCTGTTTTATTTTAGTTTGAAAAGAAGTTATACATAAAATAGTTATCGCGCCCGGGGAAGAATAATTCTTTTAAGAAAAGATCTGGGTAGAAACTCAAGTGTCATCATGAGGCTCAGTTGAGGTCTCCTTACACTCCTTGATTGCCTTCGAAACTGGTGGGTGCTCCATCAAGGAAGGCTTTCAAAAAGAGACTGGACGACCATCTGTCTGAAATGATATAGGGCAACGGCCGCCCCACTTTTTGGGCACCCGCAATGGTGGGGTTTCAATTTTTTAACTACCGGTTCTGTGGGCTTGGCTTGATGGGCGTGGCATGGCTTGGTGAGCGTGGCAGGGGAAGGTTACTGCAAAATCCCCATTCCCTCACGACCCCACTAACCTGCTTTCCAGCTCCGTTCTCCCGTGCAGGGCAACGAAAGAAGACCCAGCCAATCAGCTGGGACTCGGGAGGCAGAGAAGAGATGGGGGCAGGGCCAGTCAGAGGTGGGATTTGCCAGTTCTCCGAACTACTCAAAATTTCCGCTAATGGTGCTCCCGAACTGGTCAGAACCTGCTGAATATCCACCTCTGGGCACCAAGGACACTTCTGTGGAGAAAGTTTTTTTTCACAGACTGGAGGGGGGGTGGTTTTGTGCGCTGCCTAAATCCTACAGATGGGGCTTCACTTGTTAGCATAGTCCAGTTGTTGGCATGCTGCAGACCAGTGCCGGTCCATGGACTGGGGGTTGGGGACCCCTGATATAGGGTCTTCTGCTGAAGCAGGGGGTTGGACTAAATGACCCCTGGGGTCCTTTCCATTCTATGTTCTGTGTTCTCCCCAAACAGGCCAATTTGTTTACCATGTACACAAGGAACAACCCGAGCTCTGAGGAAATCCCTTGAAACAACCACATGCCAGGACCATGGTAGGAGGATTGTTTGTGTTTTAAAAGTAACTAACATGGGACAGAAGGACACTAGGTTCCCCAGGCACCAAATCTCCCAAAGTAACATTTCTCAGACTTGGCAAGTTTTGTGGACTTCAACTCCCAGAATTCCTTTATGGCTCTTCTTTGAACCCGTTCTCTGAATTTCTTAGCCTCCCTCTTGCAACATTTATTTATTTATTTGCTTGTTTGTCAAACATGTACAAAAAAACAAGTATAGGTATGAACGTAAACATGAACAAAGGAAATAAGTACTGATAAACGGGGACATGTTGCGCTGTATCCTAGATTGATTCGATCTCGTCGTACATGAATGAATTGCACTTGAGTCAAACTTGCTTGAAACATTGACCATCACTGGTCTATGGGATTGCTGATTCTTCCAGCATCTTTGCTATTCCTTTATTCTCCTCATTTGATGTTCTTCTTCCTTTGGCAGTTCACTAAGCTCTTTTTGTATTGTTTGGTTTAACAGAGAATGAGCTGCTACCTGTGGGAAACATTCATTCTTTTTTTGTAAGCGACTGTAAGTTCAGAGGCCAACAAACCACTGGGCTAGTTCGCAGACATGTTCAAATCAAGAATAGTGAAAAGGTAAGATCTTTGAGCAAGAAAGCCTAACAAGATTAGATGGAGTGAGGCTTTCTTAAGTCAAATCTAAAATCTGAGACTCCAATATATTAGATCTTTTCCTTCCTTCCTTCCTTCCTCCTTTTCCTTCCTTCTTCCCTCCTTTTTCTTTCTTCCTTCCCTTTCTTTCTTTCTTTCTTTCTTTCTTTCTTTCTTTCTTTCTTTCTTTCTTTCTTTCTGTCTGTCTTTCTTTCTTTCTTTCTTTCTTTCTTTCTTTCTTTCTTTCTTTCTTCCTTCCTTCCTTCCTTCCTTCCTTCCTTCCTTCCTTCCTTCCTTCCTTCTTTCCTTCCTTCCTTCTCTTTGGAGTCAGCCAATGCCTCAATTGAATACATTAAATTAATAATAAATGTAGAGAATTTATACGACTTTGTTTTACATACATGACCCTGGCAGCTAATAGCAAGGGCATATTTACACACACACACACACACACACACACACACACACACTCCTGAATAAAATCTCAAATAAATGTCTTCCAGCGTGTTTCTGGAATGAAATAATTATCAAGTTAAGATAACATCTATTTCCAGAGTCTACCTTGGATTATTGTATCAGTTTCAATGGTGATTGAATCTTGTATATAGATAAAAGACTTCTGAAGAAAGAAAAAATCCTGACCTTGATTTTAGAGCAGGGATCACCAAACTTTTGGACCTCAGGGACCACCAAACTCATAATTTTAAATCCCGTGGACCACTAATATGACTGACAGTGGCTTGCTGATGTTTTTAATCACCCTGTAGAAAGCAGCAGAGACCCTGGAAAAATAAAAAAAAATGTCTGCAGGAAAATTCCCCACCCCATTTTCCTACCGATTGATCGATCGATCGATCTTTATTTGGGATTGCAGGATACCATCTCCAGCTCCGTTCTCAGGAGGAGAGAGAGAGACTTTTGGCTTCATGCAAGGAAAGCAGCAGAAGCAGCAGAAGTCTTTCTTTCTCTCCCCCAAACTCTGCCAGAAATGAGTCTTTTGCTGGCACAGCCTCTTGGAGCAAGCATGCCTTGCAGGGTCCCAAAGACTCATTTCTGGTGGAGTTTGCGGGAGAGAAAGAAAGACTTTGCTGCTTTCCTTGTGGGAAGCCAAAAGCAGAAGAAGAAAGAAGCAGAAAGAAGTGGGGCAGGTTCACCCCCTCCGCCCTTTCTCCCCTCCCCTCACTACCTCATGTTGTTCTCAATGCAAGTGATTCAAGCCTTGTGTTCCCACGGGGCCATGTGGGCGGTGCAGCCTTGTGTTCCTGTGCAACCTGAATTAATTGCTTTGGGGGTGACATTGCTCTGTGGACCACCTACATTTTGTTGCGGACCATCAATGGCCCCCGGCCCACTGGTTGGCAACCACTGTTTTAGAGGATGTCTATATTTTTACGGGCAAACTCTCTTAGAGGGGAAAAAAACACATTCCCTTCAAGGGGTACCTGCAGCCAGGGGTCAAATAATGATGAAGATTTTATTTTGTCTGAGGATAACTATTTGCTGGGAAGGGAATCAAAAAACGTCAAAATGACAATCACAGTGTTGTGATTAGAGCTGACCCTTTTTTTTTTTACATCTCTTTTCTTGAGACTCCTTTTGTTGGATTATACCACTTTGCTAAGTAGTGAGGGTTCCCCACCATCACCAACACTATTCCTAATAGACACACTAATTTGACTTAGCCAAGAAAGAAGAAAAAAAGTATAAACCTAATTCTAACTAAAATGGGAAATCCGTCCCAAATGGGCTGAGTTATCGAACATCCTTTGATAATTTCTCCAAATTCTTCAGAGCTGAAAATTAGGCTTTGATGGATCAGGATTTTAATGTAGCTGTCACTCCGGCATATTACCCTGTTTCCCTGAAAATATGACCTACCTTGAAAATAAGTCCTAGCTTGATTTTTACATGTGCGCCCAATATAATTCCTACCCCCCAAATAAGCCCTAATTAAGATCCCGCCCACTCCAGAGTGGACAGATAAAAATCAAATTAGGTTGGGGATGAGGGGGATGGAGCTGCCCTACTACTTACCTTTGGACAGTTGTAGCCAGGCCTTGCGCACGCCGACACCAGCCTTGCCAGCCTATTTCTTCCTGAAGGCCTCTGGAGCTGATAACAAAGCTCCTGATCGATCTGAAGCTCTGTTATCGACCGCAAAGGCCTTCAGGAAAGCCTTGCCAGCTGCAGAAGAATAAGTTCCTGAAGGCCTCTGATATAGCAAAAAGGAGGCTGGGGGTGAAGTGCACAAGTGAGGTTAGTCATGGATGACATCCTCGAAAATAAGACCTGGTGCCTTTTTTTGGTGGCAAAAAATTGTAAGACAGAGTCTTATTTGGGGTGGAAACGCGGTAATGGTTATTTGGATGAGCTGAATAGAGAATATGGGGCAGCTTGCAACATCTCTTGAAAACAGGAAAGAGGAGACAGTGGAAAGATGGCTGCACTGATGTCAGGAGTGGAGACTTACCCTAAACTGGGACTTATTAAAGACTGCATTCAAACAATCCCCACTTCAATGAACTATGGCTAAATGTAATGACGATGTAATGTCTCTTAATGACCATCTTTAGTGATATGTCCAATTTTCTCTATTTCCATTTTCTATTTCCAGAAAATGGCCTGTGAACAAGATGCTCGGAATGCCAAATTCTACAAAAATGTTACCAATATTAAAGACGTAGTGACTGATAACTTTCTCTGCACAGGGGGGCAGGACCCTGTGCTGGACCCCAATACATGCAAAGGTGAGCTGAATAAGGGTACTCTCTCTGTTGTTTCCTGGTTTCCTAACCCTTTAAGGCCTCTCTAAACCAAGTTAGCTCCAAAGCTTCATGGCAACTGATCTTCCAGGTCACAGTAGATCAGCATTTGCAGGAAGAAAGGGAACGATGTATTAATGATATTTAAGAATATAAAGGCAAGGAGATCGCATGTTTGCAAGGATCTAAGAAAATGTCCTTCTGTTCCTTTTGGCTCTGGACCCTAGTTATAATGGAGAGACACCTGGGAACAGAAAATTGGACTTTTCAACAGTAACATTCACATAAACACAACAACAGGTATTAATATATTTCATTCTAAACATACCGTATAACAGAACTAGCTCTATACCTGTGCTTGGCTACGAAACTATGTGATCGGGCCAGGGGTGGGATTCTACCAGTTTACACCTATTCGCTAGAACCGGTTGTTAACATTCTAAGCAGTTCAGAGAATCAGTTGTTAGAAGAAATTACTGGCCTAATCCTGTAAGGAAGGCAGGAAGGAAACATTCTGGTGTTGCTTACAGAAACTGCCTCTCCATTAACTTGGCAGGACTAGACTTCCTGTCTCAGGAACATCTCTGGAGGTTTTTTTCCCCTCTTTGCTGGTACTTTGCTAGTGTGGAGTGACCATTTAAAGTTACAATGGCACTGAAAAAAGTGACTTATGACCCTTTTTCACACTTACGACTGTTGCAGCATCCCCACAGTCATGAGAGGCCAGGGGAGAAGATGGGTACCTTGATGTGAGTGATATTGAGTTGGCCACGCCCAGCCAATAACATGACCACCAAGCCACGTCCACCCAGTCACATGACCACCAAGCCACTCCCACCAACTAAGCCACGCCCATAGAACCTGTTGTTAAAAATTTTGAATCCCACCCCTGGATAGGGCTTTGGGGGGAGGAAAATAAGGGGGGAAATTGTGCCTCTGCCTACCAGCATCCATTGGTATTCATCTGGCCAGCGTCCTGTCAGTGTGTGAGAGAGTTGAGGGCTGTTTGGAAACTGAAGCAGTATAGTAAATACTGCTATTTACTATGTGAGCAAGAAGGAGACAGCAAGGAGCCTGGGTGTGGCTTAGCTGAACTGTTCTGTACTAAAGCTGGTTGCTGCTGTGAAAATAAAACTGAAGCTGAAACTCCTCTGTTTTGCATTTGGAAGAGATTTCTTTTCAGGTGGGGAGGAAGAGCAGAACTCCTTAGCATCAGAGCGTGTTAATGATAATAATATATGAAATACTAATGCTCTGATGATCGTTTTGAAAAAATCCTTTCTTAGTGAGCGCCTAGAAGCCAAGAGGAACATACGTGCCAAATTTCAAGTTTGTAGGCTTTATGGTTCTGGAGATTTTGTGATGATGCGTGATGGTATTTCGCTTTTATATAGAGAGATTAACAGAATTGAAAAGGACTTTGGAGATCCTCTAGTCCAGCTCCCTGCTCAGGCAGGAAGTACTATATTTCAGGGTCTTTCAGTGTAAATGCAACAGCATTAATATAACAACACTCCCTAGACTTTGGAAAACAGGGGCATGATGGCTCAGTGGTTAAAGACTTCTGTAGACCAACTCAGGGGTGGGATTCAGTTTTTTTAACAACTGTTTCTGTGGGCATGGCTTAGTTGGTGGGTGTGGCTTGGTGGTCATGTGACTGGGTGGGCGTGGCCAACTCGACATTACTCACGTCAAGGGACGCTTCTCCTCACCTGGCCTCTCATGACAGTGGGGATGCTGCAATGGTCATAAGTGTGAAAAATGATCATAAGTCACTTTTTTCAGTGCCACTGTAACTTTGAAGGGTCAGTAAATTAACTGTTGTAACTCAAGGGTGACCTCCACAAAAATACTAAAAGCTTCTTTGCTTGCAAAAAGCTGCCCTAAAAATGCCTGCAAGCCAGAGTTACAAATCAGGCAGAGTGCCAGAGCACCTTGAGGAATTAAAATAGTTAAAATGCAATGATAACTATCAACCAGCCAACTCTTGCTCATAAAGTGAAACCCTTTAGCAGAGAGGTCATTTAAGCTCTCCAGAAAAAGCAATCCTTAGATCCATTTGCACCACTTAAAGGAGTGGTCTCACTCACCTCACAAAATATCCTAAGGAAATCATCCAGATTTAAGTATGCCCCCCAGAAAGGCAGTAAAAAAAAAATCAGTGCCAAGCTTGCATCCTGCCTCTTGAAACTATACCCCAAAAGGACAGTGCCAGATAGTACTACAGTGAAGGAAGACCCCCTCCCCAGATAGAAAAAGAAGCCATGAGGCAGGAAAAAAATTCAAACACAATACAAATACTTAAATCACAACAGTAGCTGTTGCTTGTTGAAGCTGAATAGGGAAAATTATCCCATCAATAAACACAGGATTAAACTTCACCAAGCATAGAATTAAGCTTCACCAAAAGCCAGTTTTAGACTAAAACTCAGAAAGGGTATGCAAACTCATGTTTGAATATCAATCTTTCTAGCTAGCCAAGAAGCCTCGGTGAATGTCATTCATCTTGGTTCCCTGTCACTAAAAGCTTTGCTTCATTGTTCAATTATTTCTTCAAAGTGCTGATTGTCCAGAGAAGTATTTTCTCCCAACAGCAGTGTAAAAATCTTAAAACAACCCTTCCCCTTTAAGAAAGCCAAGCCCCCAAAAGCTCCGGAGACAGGAAGTCTAGGCTTTCTGCCAAGAATGTAATAAGGGTGGAAAAAAACAAAAGGAGATTGCTTCTAACTACCACTTAGAAAAATTAACAAGGGGTTTTATAAAACCGGACAGAATCCCACCCCTCCTTCAACTCCCAGAATTCCCCAGCATGATTGACTGGGGAATTCTGGGAGTTGAAATCCACCCATCTTAAAGTTGACAAAGTTGAGAAACACTGATATAGACAAATACATTCATATAATAATCTAATTTTTTTAAAGGAAAATTTGGAGAGGACTGTTTCTGCTAGAACCTCAGAAATTATAATGAAACTGAGTAGTTCCAGAAGATTCTCACAGAGTTGTTTTATGCAGCTTCATAACCCGTCAAATATGTCCATTAACAACTGTCAGGCTAATACAAGAGTGGGGAACTATGGCCCCTTTATGACCCGTGGACTACAATTTTATGACCTGTGGGCTTCAATTCCCAGAATTGCATGGCTGGCTCAGGAATTCTGGGAGTTGAAGTGCACAGGTCATAAAGGGGCCATACTTCCCAACCCCTTCTCTAATACACCCTCTTCCTCTAGTTTTTACATCACTGAATCACGTCTACATTTGGATACATGTTGATCAACATCTCCTTTTAACGACCCCATAATCCCTTGTGGGGTGGAGTCTGGGCAACTGAATGGAGCTAGCAAGAGTGTTTACTGGCCAGATGCCCTCCCTGTCGCCAATGCAGAGTTTTGTTCAGCAGAAATATTCTCATTGTGCCCAGAGAGAGAAATGCCTGCCTCTAACCTAGGATCGAACTCACAGCCTCTTGATTGTGAGGCGAGAGCTCCACCTCTAGGCCACCATGCCACTCATTTGGATACATGTTGATGCCTGTCTGAATTTTTCCCATAGTTGGATCCCTGTGCGTTATATAGATTTGATCTCTCCATACCCAACTCAGTCCCTTGATTAAATCCCTTTTCCTTTTGCCTCACCAATAGCAGAACAGGTATGCATATGTGGTCAAGGAGAAGTTGAAGATATCTCCCGTTTTATTGTACTGTGAGTTATACAGAGTTTATAGGTCATTGCGTATTCTCCCCTTATACTAGAGAGATTGCCAGGGAGGGCAGACAATTTTTATGTACGGTTTCTCCTCCAGGACTCAGACCCGGCTATTACGGGTGCAGTGGCAAAATTCTGTGTTGCTGAAATGTCTACAAGAAAAAAAATTGGTCACAGAATTATAGCTGCCAATTTGTGCCAATTTTTGGAGATAGAACCATCTTTGGAAAATGATATTTACACACGTACTTATTGGCTCTCCACTCATATAAACTAGGGGAGTGACCCTAACTGTTTGAGAACATGTATTTTCTTAACAGGGATGTTTTAATCCACTATTAATGTATTATAATGTATCAGTACTTTTTTTATATATATATATTGTAAATAGCGATATCTATTGCTGGTGTAAGACCGTAACAAAGCTATATTCTATTCTATTCTATTTTGCCTTGCAGGTGATTCTGGTGGTCCTCTCATCATTCAGAAAAAGTTGCGTTATATTCAGGTGAGTGGTTATTTCATGGGAACTGCTAGAGGACAGCAGGTGTGTGTGAATGGCCCCAATTCAATCTGTCAGCTTCAGATCATTGCCGGGATGAAACTCTTATCATTTTTCTGTCCCAAAGGTGATTTTTCAAGAGGCAACCGGACTTTTTTTTTTTTTTTCCTCAAAGACGTTTGGCTTCTCTATCCAAGAAGTTTTCTCTCTTCTTGAAATGAACAGAAATGAACTGAAGAAGCTTCTTGGATGAGAAGTGAAACGTCTTCAAGAAAAAAAAAAAGTCCAGTTGCCTCTTGGGGGGGAAAAAGCACCTTTGTGACAACCTGGATGACTGAGAATCTGCATAGACATATTACCCGGGTATCAAACTCAAGGCCCACAGGCCAGATGTGGGCCGCAATGTGGTCAGATGTAGCCTACGGGGCTGCCCTGGTCTACCCAATGCGAGGAGGAAAGATCAGGCCACCGTAGCTTCGACCCGGTCTACCCAGTGTGGAAAGGAAACAATGCCAGCAGTTTGGAGAGTGGCATCAAACTGTCCACACCCACCCAGTTGGCCACACCCACCCAGTCAGCCACACCTGCCCAGCCCCCCCTGAGGTCAACCACAGCCTTGATGCGGCCCTCCATGAAATTGAGTTTGACACCCCCTGACATATTATTTTTCTGCCATGGGTAAGTTGGCTGCATGTCTTCAGATGGAACGGAGATGTTCATTTAGTTTACATAATTTCATCAGAATGGTGGGATTCAAATCTTTTTTACTACTGGTTCAGTGGGCGTCGCTTGGCTTGGTGGGCGTGGCTTGGTGGGCATGGATACCGTAAAATCTGTAAAATCTCCATTCCCTACCCACTCCTGGGGGAAGGATACTGCAAAATCCCCATTCCCTCCCCACCCCATTAACCTGCTTTCCAGCTCCGTTCTCCTGTGCAGGGCAACCAAAGAAGACCCAGCCAATCATCTGGGACTTGGGAGGCAGAGAATAGATGGGGGCGGGGCCAGTCAAAGGTGGGATTTGCCGGTTTTTCGAGCTAGTCAAAATTTCCTCTACAGTTTCTCCAGAACTGGTCAGAAACCTCACGTAAGAGGTTTCTTCCTTCCTTCCTTCCTTTATCTGACGTGGGTTTTCCTTCAATGAAAGCTGTGAGACCCCAGGATTGAGTTTCTCGCGTTTTTCTATCTCTACCTTCTGTAGGTTGGCGTCATTAGCTGGGGTGTGATTGATGTCTGCGGTCATGTCACTACGTTATGTGATGAACCTGAAAAATTGCAGAGGCACAAACCCTCCTATGCCAGGGATTACCACCTCAACCTCTTCAAAATTATCCCGTGGCTCAAAAAAGAGCTGGCTAATGAGGACCTGGAGTTCATCTAGACGCATTCTCTTCCCAGATGCTCTATGTAAATAGAAATCATTCTCTTCAAACCTTGCCAAGTAAAGTCTGTGTTAACAATGACTATGTCTGATGTAACTGTATAAAAAAAAGAACCAATAAATGTGATATGTGTTATCCTTTGCTTTTATCTCCTATGTTGGAATGGTTGGGTTTAGTTTCTATGCAGAAAAAAAATCAAGATGATGACCGCTTGGGGAGTCTGAGCCCTCTGTAGATAGCAACGGTAGTTTATTCACTTATTAGTCTGATGACAGTATCAAAAGATTAAAAAATTAGAATAAAGTGTAGCATCTAATTCAGATAAAAGACAACACAATACAGATAGTTCTCGACTTACGACCACAACTGAGCCCAAAATTTCTGTGGCTAAGGGAGACTTTTGATACAGTGAATTTTGCCCTATTTTACACCCTTTCTTTCCACAGTTGTTAAGTGAATCACTGCAGTTGTTAAGTGAAACTGGCTCCCCCACTGACTTTGCTTGCCAGGCGTTTGCCAAAGGTGATCACATGACCCCTATGGACACGTCATAAATAGGACTCAATTGCCAAGGTCTGAATTTTGACCATGTGACCATGAGGTGGCTGCAACGGTCGTAACTGTGAACAACCACTTTTTCAGCGCCATCGTAATTTTGAACAGTCACTAAACAAACAGTTATAAGTTGAGGATTGAGCAGGTAGGAGCAGTATATTTAATGGCTGAGGCATTTTCTGCATGTCCTTTCGAGGTGTGGCAGGTGATTCCATGGCCCATATTTGGCCACGGAAGCCAACAACTCCAATCTTTCTCCTAAAAAGGCCCTTCTGTCAAACTCATTGGTAAGTATTTTTCAAACTGGGGTTAAAGTTCACTTAACAACCATCTCGCTTAGCAACAAAAATTTTGGGGCACAGTTGTCATAAGTCGAGGACCATCTGTTCTGGCATGGCAGTGACCGAACTGTTTACATTTTTGCTATTACAATTTCTCTAGAGTCAAATAATATCTCAGTACTGGATAGCGCTTGCCCCGAGACTATCAGGAAATGGTATCACGAACAGAGGTTGGAAAAATCATTATCCAAGTACACAAAGCGTTCAGGTCACGGCCACCACTGAGTCCTTGCCAGGATCTAAGTATTGCCTAATTTGGAGTCAACCTCAGTATTACAGTTATTTCTTGGGAAGAGGTGAGAGGAGGTGGCTCATAAGTAGGGAAACCAATGAGGAAATGTTCACCGTGATGCAATCGTATGATTTGCAAGAAATACCCGGAGTTGCATCACTTTCACCGTTTCTATGAGATGCCTACAAGGGGTGTTTGTTTTATAGATCCATAGGAGTTCGGTTTTGCCACAGACTAAATTCTTCACTTCAGGGTAGACATAGCGGGGGGTGATATTTACAAAAAGTCTGTCCTGGAGTGTCTATGGAGATTCTCAGTCATCCAGATCACAGTTGCCCCAAAGGTGCTCCCACCATCCAGTCAGAGCTGAAGAAGCTTCTTGGAGGAGAAGCAAAACGTCTTCAAAGAAAGACCAGAAAGTCCAGTTGCCTCTTGAAAATACAAAAACAAAACAAAACACTTTCGGATCTGTCCTAGAGTCACAGTCTCTGTTGAGGCCAGGGTATGAGGAGAAGATAGAAGGCGAGTCGGCTAGCGTCTTATCTTATAAATAACGGTTTAGACAAGGTGGAAAGAAAGAAACATTTAGAATAGAATGGAATAGGAATGGAATAGGAATAGGAATGGAATGGAATGGAATAGGAATGAGAAGAGAAGAGAAGAGAAGAGAAGAGAAGAGAAGAGAAGAGAAGAGAAGAGAAGAGAAGAGAGGAGAGGAGAGGAGAGGAGAGGAGAGGAGAGGAGAGGAGAAGGGAGGGGAGGGGAGGGGAGGGGAGAGGAGAAGAGAAGAGAAGAGAAGAGAAGAGAAGAGAAGAGAAGAGTTGGAAGGGACCTTGGAGGTCTTCTAGTCCCACCCCCTGCTTAGGCAAGAAACCCTACCACCATTTCAGACAAATGGTTATCCAATCTCTTAAGATAGGCCTAAGAAACAGAAGGATCTTGACAGAGTTGAACATTGGGCACTACCTAACAAAATGAAATTCAGTGGTGAAAAAAGTAAGGGCCTACATTCAGGCAAGAAAAACGAAATGCATAGGTACCGTATATGTGGTATCTTGCTCAATAGCAGTAACTGTGAGAGGGTTCTTGGAGTCCTAGTGGATAGTCACTTAAATATGAGCCAGCAGTATGCAGCAGCAGCCAAAAAAGCCAGTGCAGTTCTAGGCTGCATAAACAGAGGAATGGAATCAAGATCAAGGGGAGTGTTAATAACACCACTTTATAACGCTTTATATGGCAGATGAGAAGCCTGATGATGGCAGATGAGATTCTGCCGAAACGTTGCTACAACTTTAAAAGCACAACTATAATGACGTGGGAAAATACCCGAACAAAGCTGAATGCCATATATATATTCCATGTAGTCAGCTACTCAGGACTTCAAACCCATGTGAGCCTGTCCACCATTAAACCATCCTTCCAAGCAGTCTCCATGTTCCAGTGTCTTTCTTCCCCCTTGGAATTGAACCCAGATGGACATTTCTTCCAAAAGCAGGACAAAAAGCAATGGATGGAAACTAAAAAATTTTTTGCTACCGGTTCTCCAGAACTGGTCAGAACCTGCTGAATACCCACCTCTGGCGTTAAGTAAGTTTGGCCCCATTTTATGACCTTTCTTGTCCTGGTTGTTAAGTGAATCGCAGCAGTGGTTAAGTTAGTAACTGGGTTGTTAAGTCGATCTTGTCGCAAAAGGTGATCACAAGACTCCCAGGGCACTGCAACCGTCATAAATGCGAATCAGTTGCCAAGCATCTGAATTTTGATCCTGTGACTCTGGAGGTGTTGCAACGGTTGTGTGAAAAACGGTCACAAGAAGTCACTTTTTTCAGTGCCATTGTAACTTTGAATGGTCACTAAACAAACTGCTGTAAGTCAAAGATTACCCATTGTTCTATTGCATGGGCCCATCCCCCATCATGTTTTTAAAAGACACCCTGATCTTAGCAAACTTCTGATAAACATAGATTACTTCTGCTAAGCGTGATCAAGTTTCCCTTTCCATATGTGCATTTTGTACCTCAGCAAAGCTTGTTTGAATTCTTAAATAAACACACCTCGATTTCCTGAAACTGTGGGACGCTGGCCAGGATTGCGGCAGAGCAGATAAGAAAGTCACAGAAAAACAAATACGTGTGTTTTCCACAGTAGAAATGAATGTTCTGGTACTTGCATCTTTCCAATTCCCTTTTTTTTTTTTTTTGCTCTTCTTAAAGTCTTGTGTTAATGTTTCTATAGTCTCTTTTTCGTACACCCTGTGGTGGTAAGTATGGAACAAAACGTAAACTTGATTTTTACATTTTTACTTTCAACTTCAAAGCATTGGCCCATTCGCACAATATCAGTGGTTTCTATAGGACATGGTCAAAAAAAGATTGTGGAAGAAAAAGACTCATGCTGAGGCCCGACAAAACTGAGCGTTTCTCTGCTTTATAAGCCTCCTAACCTGGGGGGAATTGCCAAGACTAGACTGGTGAGTCTCTATTGTACTCACGGTGCACAGCCTGGGGATTTCTTGGCCTCACAGATCCTGTTTGTAAAGCAGCGGCAGTTTTAGATGTTCCTGTTTCTGGATTGGGAAAGCCATTTAGAGTCATTCACAGATAAACTACCCCAGGAAATCAATTCCAAAGAAAGGCTAAAACAACATTTATCGAAATTGGAATGGAATGGAATGGATAGGATAGGATAGAAAGTAGAATAGAATGGAATGGGATGGCGTGGCATGGCATGGCGTGGCAAAGAACTGGAACTGGAACTAGGAATGGAATAGAATAGAAT